GGGGGGGCACGCAGCATCAGTGGGTAAAGAGAAGCACTGAGTGGGGGTTTAGACCAACAACAGAGGTTCCAAAATACAATCGGCAAATTTGTGAGTGCTGAACTGTGAACATGCAGGGGTCCATCATTTTATATTTCTGTATTACAAATGATGTCATATTTGTCGTGTCATGATTATTGTGAAACATAACATATTCGAGGGGAAACCTCTTTGCATCTGCATGCTCACCCTCATCCTCCCGTTTCGTATGGCGGGACCATCCTCTGCGAGGCGCAACACAAACAGGTCCATCTTGTACTCTCTGCCCCCCCGGATACTGAAACCGAAACCTTTGGAGCTTTTCTCCAGCTCCACTGTAAAGTAATCAAAGTCCTGCAGAGGGGGAATCTAAAAGAAAAAAGAAAAAAAAAGTTATTATAAAAGCGCAGCAGGAGGGACCTATTGTGAAAAGACATTCTGCTGTGAAAGCAGCACAAGTGTAGAGGATCTAAAAAGTCGACATACCTCTATTTTTTGTGATTTATAAAATGGCACAGATAGAAAACATTTTAAAACCAATCAGAGGAACTTTAAATAGCGGCAGGTGTGTGTTGACTCCCATAAAAAATGAGTTGAAAAGTGATTGGCTCATTTTGGACACAGCCACTCCCCAGTTACAGGAGGGTGTGCACACTTATACAACCACATTATTTCATTTGTTTATTTTTACTCTATGAAAGTTATTTTTTTTCAATTGTATTGTACAGGTTCTAGGCCACATTAATACCAGAAAAAACTTTGAAAATGATTTATCATGGTGTCCTTTTTTTTTTTTTTTAAACACCATCATGGGTGTGTAGACTATTTGATTTGATTATGATACCTGTGGTCGAAACTCTGCAGCGATCCCCAGCGGGAACTGAGCAGCTGCCGTGTGCTGTCTGAAGTCCAACAGGCCGGGCGGGTGCCGGTAGTCCAGCGTCGGGGGCTGGCGGTAATCGGTCACCGGCGGGTGCCGGTAGTCTACGGGTGGTTGCCTGTAATCAGTGAACGGAGGATGGCGGAAGTCAGGTTTCACATCCTGTCTGGCTTTAACCTCTGACCTGTGAGGAGGGAAAAAGCAACACAATCTGAGAGAGTTTTGTTTGGAGGACAATGTGTACGTAGTATGTACAGCGCTCCTCAGTAACACTGGATGGATGAAGTGAAAAATAGTCCCATCTAAATGTATAACGATGGAATTTTCTTTTTACTAAATTACTACTAAGCCTACGACAAAATTACATGTTTCTTCAATATTGTATTTATAGGTATATTTTTGAGTCAAATGATCATTTTTATCTAATACGATAAACTACTGACAGACAACCTAACTTGGAAAGAATATACGTGACCTTTCACAGCAGTATGAGTCACCGCGACACATATTTCAGAAATATGGTTTTGGCAAAATCAAAAGGAGAATGAGCTCAGATTCAAATGACAAATCAACCATGACGCTCCACGACTCATTCCATCATTCTGACTTGTTACATCATGACCACAGATATGAATAGGACCTTTTACATAATGCAATTTCTAAACACTTCAGTGTTTATTACATAAAAATCTAACTTTTAATTGATGACATAGGTAGAAATATGACCTGCTAAACCGGTATTGCCTTGTGTATCTCTTTGCTCAAAGTCTCTCTCTCTCTCTCTCTCTCTCTCTCTCTCTCT